AAGTTCTTCAGAAGCTGCTGCCTGTGATTAAAGAATCCAGATCAGTTCAGTAAGTATCACTGAGAACAATCACTTCACTGTTAAAACATCAAGAAAATACAAGTTAAAAGCTCATAAATCTTCAGTGCTGCAGATGTTGTTCAGAGTTTAGTGGTCAGTGGTTTTATATCAAATCAGTGACACCGTGAGATTGAGAGTCAGAGAAGTGGCATATGAATCAATTATTTGGGTTTGTCAATAATGAAAAATGTCTTTGCAAAAAAAGGAATTGAAGTAATTGATTTTTTTAAACCATTGACATTGTGCAACAAAGTCATATTATTTATCTTTCTTGAATTGAGACTCATGTTTTTGTTCTGTGATATTTTAGATCTCAGTCCAGTGATCCATCAAACATGTTGATTTGTGTTTTAAGTTTGTACTTTATTTTAATAATGGATTCACTGCTAAACTGATCTGATCTGAGAGAGTGAAGAGTGTGAACTGAATCTGTCTGGGAATAAACTAGGAGATTGTGGAGTCACGCTGCTCTCTTCTGGACTGGAGGATCCTCACTGTAAACTGGAGAAACTGTGGTAAGATTATATTTGACTCTCACACATGAAACACAATGTAAAGTATGTTTGAAGTGTCGAGTCTCTTTCTGCTGCTGTGAGTTCAGCTGATTGAGCTGTAAATGATTGAACACATGAGCTGCTCCTCAGTAACATGATACTGCAGGACTGAGAGTCACACTGAAATACACACTTTCACACACAATCAACATTTCAGTCCCTTGACTTTAAACAGACTCGAGCTCAACACAGTCAGTGACTCATTAAAATATTGTTTTAATTGTGTAAAATCACACAAATGACTGCTGCAGACATGAGAGTACAGATCTAAAGAACACAGTAAAACTCAGGCAGTTGTTACGCCCCATGGGTCGAAAAGGACATAGCAAAAACGGGGACACACAAGAAAGTGCGAAGAATATACAAAATATATTAACAAAATAGAACTATACAGAAAGAAACAATGTAACATGAAGCAGTCAGGAATCAGTGGTGTAAAGTTAAGTGAATGCATGAAAGTGTAATGGTCTGTAGTAATGTTGGATGTATAAAGTAAACAAGGTTAAACAGAAACCAAACGAAGCCAAGTCCAAAATGCAGCTCGCCTCTGGCCAGTTGTCATACTGCCTTTTAAAAGGCAAGACAGGAAACCAACAGCAGGTGTCCTCGATGAACCCATCAGAGAACAATCAGTGGGAAGGTGGAGCCATACCACAATTCAACCCAGAGATGACGTAGATAACGCATGGGTCGTCACACAGTGAATATTGTCATTTATTTAAAACAGATTTTGCATGAGACAAACATCTTTTAAATAAAATGCAGACAGTTGGTGTGATGAAGTAATATTATTTATCTTGCTTGAATGAAACTTTTGATGATTTATGATCATGTTTGGTGTTCTGTGACATTTTGACCCAATCCCATTTCTACCCCTTAGCCCTTCCCCTTTCCCCTCCGTTTCACGCGTTCACGTGAAGGGGTAGGGGTGTCTCAATTCTCTTTTGGTTGGAGGGGTAGGGGTAAGGGGAAGGGCCAGATAGCCCTACAAATGAAGATTTTTCAGGACCACACTTCAAATGAGGGGGTATGAATTATCTCAGCATAAACCGGATACAGCGGCAACATGGCTGCCCGAGCGAACAAAAAAAACACATAAATGTAAGGATTAATGTAAACAAGGTTAAACAGAAACCAAGTCCAAAATGCAGCTTGACTCTGGCCAGTTGTCATACTGCTTTTTAAAAGGCAAGACAGGAAATCAACAGCAGGTGTCCCCGGTGAACCCATCAGAGAACAATCAGTGGGAAGGTGGAGCCATACCACAATTCAACCCAGAGATGACGTAGATAACGCATGGGTCGTCACACAGTGAATATTGTCATTTATTTAAAACAGATTTTGCATGAGACAAACATCTTTTAAATAAAATGCAGACAGTTGGTGTGATGAAGTAATATTATTTATCTTGCTTGAATGAAACTTTTGATGATTTATGATCATGTTTGGTGTTCTGTGACATTTTGACCCAATCCCATTTCTACCCCTTAGCCCTTCCCCTTTCCCCTCCGTTTCACGCGTTCACGTGAAGGGGTAGGGGTGTCTCAATTCTCTTTTGGTTGGAGGGGTAGGGGTAAGGGGAAGGGCCAGATAGCCCTACAAATGAAGATTTTTCAGGACCACACTTCAAATGAGGGGGTATGAATTATCTCAGCATAAACCGGATACAGCGGCAACATGGCTGCCCGAGCGAACAAAAAAAACACATAAATGTAAGGATTAATGGCATTAATAAAGATTTTAATGAAAAGTAATCATTTGTTTTATGTAACATTCAAACGTGTGTTTATATTTACGGTCATGTTATTCAAAGAAATGTTTGCAAAAAATCGCTAAAGTTTGCTAACGTCATATCATTACAGACTGCACGATAGTGCCACAACATATTTTCATGTCTGATCAGGGCGATAACCACCATAGACATATAATTAGAAATAGCTAAACTTTTTTCTCAGATATTGCCAATTCGAGAGAGAGAGAGAGAGAGAGAGAAGTGAAAACACTCTGTTTCAAGGGACAAGGGGAAGGGGTAGGGGTAGGTGAAGGGGTATAAAATAGAATTGGGATTGGGCCTTTGGAACTCAATCCAATGATCCATCAAACATGTTGATTTGTGCTTTAGGTTTGTACTTTCTCTTTAATAATGGATTCACTGGTAAATGTATGAAGATAAAAGAATAGCAAAACTCGAGAGCGAGCTGATTTCAATATGAGAACTTGTCATATCAGTATTCATTTTTGTTGAAAGTTGAAATTTACACTCATGTGAAAAGCTGAATCTTTCGATGTGTACACAAACAATAATCAATATTTGATTAATAATCAGGTCCTCGAATTTGATTGGCTGAGAAGGCTTCCCACCCATGGATATTCACCCAATATCACACGCGAACTGTTTCACCATTTGTATCACACGGTTTGCAGTATTTTTTCACAGCGAGTGTCATAGCGGACGCCCAAATCCACTATCATTTACAAAATAATACTGTTTTTGTGTCACGGAATATAGTTTTAAGAGCTTTTTATGCAAGAATGTAGTTTTTTAGACTTCAAATATTTAGCTTGTTAATAAAGATAACGTCTATTTGGAAATGTGCTTCGATGTTTTCGGAGATGTGAGCTCCAGGGCGTCAGCGACCATTCAGCGCTCATGAAACCGCCAAGAGCAGCCTCACCTCGGCCAGTTCTTCTGGAATTTGCCGCTGGCTCTGATGTCTCTATAGTGATTAAATGTATAATTAATTTTGGGTAATTCTAATGGGCAGTCTTTGGTCTCATTAATCTATTATTTGTTCCAGAGCAAATAGTTTTGGCTGAGGGCAAAATCTCATAACTTTATATTTTATGTAACTTTAATGCTGTATATCAGAGCACTGCCTTTTGTACTTTTGACTGAATTGCCATATCATACTTGTCTTAATTGTTTAGATTTTTAGAAGGCACATTAGCTTCTTTTACATTTGCAACTCTCCCTGTTTGCTGCGTAAAAACATTACATTATTCAATATTCAATATTGATCTGAACATAATCAGCAGGCGGGCAGTCCCATATTCATAATTGTGACCACAGTCTTTTTATAATGTCTGCCGTTGTAACGTTTATGTTTACATCTACTAGGGCTTGCATAGACTAGTCGAGAAGTCGAGTGATCGACTACTTCAACCACTAGTCGGCGCTGTCAGAAACAATCGACTACTCGAGCATGCATTAACTTTATATTTTATGTAACTTTAATGCTGTATATCAGAGCACTGCCTTTTGTACTTTTGACTGAATTGCCTAACAACTTTTATGATGGATGTTGTTGTTTATTAAATATTATTGTTCAATAAATAATATTTTATATAAAAATGTAGTAGTGCTTAATAGTATTTGGTATTGAGAAAGGTGTGCAGTGCTCGCAAAATTTAAAAATCCCTGGTAGCCTTTCAGGCAGGCACTCTTCAGACTTTGGTAGCCAAAAAAAGAAAAAAATTGTCCTTTTTAATACAGAAAATTGGATAGGATTTCACTATTTACAGGACATC